GGATTGTGAGGTGCGCGTATGCCTTTCCTCACTCCTAACCGAACCCCCGAACCCCGATCTCTGCGCAGACTTGTTTTAGGTGACTTGTCCCACCTTATAATTTGGACGAGTGGCGACTCCCTTTTCTTTAATATTTTCACACTAATTCATTTTTTAAGTGGTCGTCAACAGATTGGCGACTCCACTGGGGACAGAACCCAAAACCTCTGGTTTTCATGTTCTGGGTTCATGAGGGTCGAGCTAATACTTTAACTTTGTGGAATTTTCAACTTTTGATTTTCTTTGTTTGTTGAGTATTTGTGGGTTTTTGTCATTTATTGCATGTGCTTGTTGTGTGTTGTTTGTCACTTGTTTGTTTGTTTTGGTGGTTGCTTTTCTGGCTTTACGTTTAAGTGGTTAGTCTGCTATATCTTGACATGCATCATACCTTGCTCATATGTTCATGCATCATATCATTTCACATACTCATCCATCATTGATATAACATGCTTATTCATCATGCATCATGCCTATACGCCTACTTGTTTGTGTGTGGATATACTCAACTTTTACACTTGGCTATGGAGTACTCAGTGAGTCTCTTCCTTCTTGTGCGATTATTTATATCTTGTTGCATGCTAAGTGTTGGTTGCTTTGTGTTACTAACCTTTTGCATTTGGCATGGGAGTACTAGGTGAGTCCCTTCCTACTGTGTAAATAGGTGTGTTTGTGGATACTATATTTGTTGAGTGTTTTATATGCTTTATTTGATTGTTGTGGGATATATGTTGCTATTTTTGTGGTTGCCACTGTGCAGGTTATTGGAGTGTCATGCCCCTTGCACACCACACTCACTCTCATTTTGCATTAGGTCCATGTCAGAGGTGAACCCGACCTCTAGTCTGGAATCCTTACGAATCTGGCCTGGAAAAGCAATTCTTCCCGCTTTGAGGAGTAAGATCGGTTCCCGTTAGGTTGTTTCCATTGGTTAATACAACACTTGATGATGTAATATCATTCTGTGTATTAGCTTTTGGAAATATCTCCCATTGATTCCGAAAGAATAAATGGTTGAGAAGGCCTAATGCCCTTTAGGAAAACATGTATTGGCTTTAAAGAGATACCAACCCTAGGACATGTTTCCCTTAGCATCCTACCCGTGAGGTTAGGGATCCCGTGTCTAAGACACAAGGGGCATTTTCTTCACTAACTTTGTCTCTGCACATGACAGGTTTTCATTTTTATATACATTTGAGGTATGATTAGTTATCCATCTTTTGCATTTAGACATCATTCTTGAGGTAAGGAGCATTCCATGCATTTCGTATCTTCATTTT